AAACCAGCTCAATTCAGTCGTTTTGTGGAATACCTTGTAGCATAGTACTAATTTGTGATGGTGGTTGTTGAGCGATAGTAATTCTGTTGTTTTTTGTGTTGTGGTTTTCTCTCTCTGGTTTCTCTCTCTCTTCTTTTCTCTCCTTTCTCTTTTCTCTCTTTCTCTCTCTCTTTCTCTCTCCCTCTCCTTCCTCTCTCTCTCTCTCTCTCTCTCTCCCTCTCTCTCTCTCTCTCCTCTCTCTTTCTCTCTCTCTCTCTCTACAGCCCCTTCCCCTTCTTCACTATTCTCTTCCCCTTCTTATAGTTCTTTTCCGTCTTGCACAGCTCTTAACAAACCCAGCTGTCCCTCCCCCTCCCCCCCCTCCCCTCCCCCTCTCCCCCTCTCCCTCCCAGACCTTCCTTCCTTGCTCCGAAAATAGGAGTAATATTACTCGACCAAACAAAACTTAGGAGAACTACTACACTTCCTGCCCTTCGTCTATCTATGGCCTTTAGCAAAATACTTCTCCCATATGTTTTCTTATTTTTTTTATTTCTTTTCTATCTTCGTTTCTTTTTCTCTTCTTCGTTTTCTCACATGTTTTCACTTTTCGTTCCAGGAGATCCAGAACGTCACACGAACCATACATCAAATAATTAATAAATAATGAATAATATCAAATAATAATAATAATAATAATAATAATAATAATAATAATAATAAATAAAATAAAAAAAATCATGGCGTCGCGTTTTCTAAAAGCATAAATATATCGCACAATGTCCCTCATTTTTCTCCCTCCCGCCCGTTCAAAACCTCCAGAGCCGACGGAAGTGATCGTATTACCCGGCGCGCGGGGTGTTCGCCACGGCAGACCTTTCGCGCCAAGAAAAAACAAGGCCTTCTTATAGGACCCTTTTTGCGGGGTCGTTAGTGGAAAGGAGGTCGCTGAGGACAAAGGCTTAGAGAGAGAGAGAGAGACACCTCCTACCTCCCTTTTTTTTCTTTTTTTAGTAGGTTTAGAGAAGAAGAAATGTAAAAAATATAAAAAATTAGAAAAAAACACTGCCGTCGCTCTTTCATAATAGATGGTTTTTCTTTTTTTTTCTTTCTTTTGCTGTTTTTTTTTTTTTTAGCAGTTAGAGAAAGAGAAATGTAAAAATATTATAAAAAAATAGAAAAACTCTGCCGTCGTCTTTTTTCATAGATAAAATGGGTTTTCTTTTTTCTTTTTTTCTTTTGCTATTTTCTTTTTCATTTTAGCACAGATTTGAGGTCTTGGTCTTAAAGTAGGAAAGTGGAGACCGAATTTTGTTCCTAAAACGGTTTTTAAACTTTCTTCTCTGCAGTGTTTGTGGTCATTAGATAATCAAAGGCACTAAATCGTAAATCGAGATATACAGACTCGTGTAAGAACTATAAAAACTAATTATTTTAATTACCATATCCAGTAGTTAACCGGAAATATAATATTATAATAAAGTCGAGCATAATTTTGACATTGAAACCTGCCATGAAACCACAGAGAAACCTCGCAACTCGACGCTATATGCCATCCGCGAGACCCATGGCATCGCTCGAAAATAAAAAAAATAATAAAAAAATTAATCACAACTGACTTACGATGATGCTGTCATTCATCCTGGAGGTGTTGTAGGATCTACGAGCGAGAGGAGAGACACTCAGCCGCGAAGGGCCTGGACAGACGTCTGGTTTAAGCTGGTGCCTGGGAACCGACTCCGAACTCGCCCCCGAAGTGCCGACGTCACAACGGAAAATATTAAACCTCTTCCTCCTCGCCTTGTGGAACCAGCTGCAAACCCCGCTCCGGCAGCTCCATTTGCGAGCCGGTCCTTGAGGTCCAGGGAAAAACTATCGTACTGTAAGACCCTCTTGCTTTACCGACAACATGCGTTTCTTAATCATAATTTTTTTATCAAATCGAGGAACCTGCTCTCATGTGGATTCATCAACGCTTCTGGATCCTTACGTGGTCATTCAGAAGCCTATAGTGACGTCATAACTATAGGATAAAGTAGGATTTATGTCAAGGAGAGAATCGTACGACGGCAGGCTGAGGGCACAACCTGAGCTCGTCCAGATGCCAGCTCTTTGAAAGGTTGTTGATTGGTCGGATACTGTAAACAACCCTGGATCAATCTACGAAGGAAGGGGGAGGCAGAAGGGGAAAGAGGAGAAGAGGAAGAGAGGAAAGAAGGAAAAGAGGAAGGAAGGGAGGATGAGAAAGGAGAAGTGGAAGGGGAGGCAGAGGGGGAAAGAGGAGAAGATGAAGAAATGAAAGGAGAAAGAAGAAGGAAAGAAAGAGAAAGGAGGAGAAAGAAGAAAGGGATGGGGGAGAAGAAGGGGAAGGAGGAGAATAGGAAAAAGGGAAAGGAGGAGAAGAGGAAGGGGAGAAAATGAGAAGGGAAAAGAAGTAAAAAAGGAGAAGAAGGGAGAGGAAACGAGAAAGAAGGGGAGTGAAAAGGAGAAGACAAAAAAAGGAAAGGAAAGAAGAAAAGAAAGGAAAAAACGAGAAATTAGTCGAGGAGGAAGGAAGAAGGAAAGAAAGGAAAAAAAGAGAGAGAGGAGAAAACCGCTCATTTATAGCCCAAAACGGCCCTTAATATGTTTCCCTCCAGCACTTTCCGCTCCATGTTTGAATCTATTTCGGGTCTGCCGGATATGCGAGTAAGCCAGATGTCGGAGTAGTGTAAAGTTAGTCATTATAGTTTCCGATGAAGGGTGGTCACAAGGAGAGGGGGTTTAAAAGGGGCTGAATCTCCTCCCGCCCCCTCCTCCCTCTCTACCCTCCTCCAGCTCCCCCTCCCTCTCCTCCTCTCTCACTACCCTCCCCAGCTCCCACCCCTCCTCCTCTCCTCATACCCTTCCCAGCTCCCAGCCTCCTTCCTAACTACCCTCCCCCACTCCCCCCCCCTCTCCTCCAAACTACCCCTCCAGCTCCCCCTCCCTCTCCTCCTCTCCTCACTACCCTCCCCCAGCTTCCCCACCCCCTCCTCTCCTCACTACCCTTCCCAGCTCCCAGCCTCTCTTCCTAACTACCCTCCCCCACTCCCCCCATCTCCTCCTAACTACCCTATCCCAGCTCCCCCTCCTCCTTCCCCCCCTCCGTGTTTGGGAGGGTTATCTCCTCCCACCCCACCCCTCCCCCGTGTTTGGTGGTCACAAAAGAGAGGTTAAAAGGGTCTAAATCTCCTCCCACCCCCTCCTCCTTACTACCCCAGCCTCCTCCTCCTCCACACAACCCCACCCACCCCCTCCTCCTCACTACCCCACCCCACCCCTTCCTCCTCACTACTCCCACCCACCCTTCCTCCTCACTACCCTCCCACCCACTCCCTCCTCCTCACTACACCCCCCACCCCCACCCCTTCCTCCTCACTACCCCCCACCTTACCCTCTCCCCCGTGTTTGAGACGGTACCTCCTCCCCCCCCATCCCCACACCCCCACCCCCTCCCCCGTGTTTTAGAACGGCTCGGGTCTACTCTCTTACTGCAAGAGCGGCGCCTCACAAGAGACAATATGAGGAAGTTGAGGTTGGAAACTCCTGTAGGGTTCTGCTTCCGCGAGTTTGGACGAAGGGAAAGGGTTAAGTGAATGTATATACAGTACGGTAAAAAAAAAAAAAAAAAAAACGATAAAGATAAAAAAAAAAGATAATAAAAAAAGATAAACGATAAAAAAACGAAAAAAAACGATAAAGATTAAAAAAGATAATAAAAAAGAAAAAAAAGATAAACGATAAAAAAAAAAAATAAAATAAAGTGGGGATGAGGGTGGGAATTGTTTGTAAAATGGATGAGATGATTAGTGTTGTGTGTTTTTTTTCTTATTTTTTTCTAATTTTTCGTTTGTGTGTGTTGGTGTGGTCTGCAAAGTGGTGTCTGTTTATACATTATGTGTTTGTGTTTGCGTGTGAGTATACGCGTGTGTTTGTGAATGTGTCTTGAGTGTGTGTTTGTGTGTCTGAAGTTTGGTGTGTTTGTGAGTGAGTCTGAGTGTGTTTGTTTGTCTACATATTGTGTATTATGTATTTTTGTCTAAAATAGATGTTGTGTTTATAAAGTGTCTGAATATGAACGTGCGTGTCTGTGTGTACGTGTGCAACATCACTATATACGTATGCATGTGCGTGTTTAGACAACAAATTTTAGAATGGCGAGAATCAGCTGTTCTTCCGAACTTGTAGAGAAGGTCACAGATGACTTTTCCCTATTTCTTTTTCCATCTTTCTTTCCTTCAGAATGAAAGAAAAATAAGGTCAAATTGTATTTTTTTTCTCTGTCCTTATAATGTTGGTGCGTTAGATCATATATAATTATATATATATATATATATATATATATATATATAGAGAGAGAGAGAGAGAGAGAGAGAGAGAGAGAGAGAGAGAGAGGGAGAGAGGGAGAGAGAGAGAGAGAGGAAGAGAGAGGGAGAGAGGAGAGAGAGAGAGAGAGAGAGAGGAGGAGAGAGAGAGAGAGAGTAGGGTAAATTTAGCATTGTTTTCAACACTCATTCTCCGAGTACTGTGTGTGTTATGGTACACTTTTTTGTTTGTTGTTTTGCTTTCATTGGCATAAACAATACTGGTTTTTGTACAGATTTTTTACTTTTAGTTCCATTTTTATTATGGAGGTTATTATCATTATCATTTTTTTATTATTATTGTTTTCTGTTAGTGATAGTAGTAGAAGTGTCATTGTGACTGACATATCATCATCTGACGTCATATATAATTATTATTATATTATTTACATTATGCTTGTTGTTGTTATTATTTCGTTATTATTATGAATATTATTACTATAGTATTAGCATTATCATCGTTATTATTAATCATTGCTGCTGATATTATTAT